GGGGGGGGGGGGAGGGTTCCTGCATCTTCGAATACAGACATGACTTGTCAGACCTGGACGATGAGCGGGGTGAGACATGACTTGTCAGACCTGGACGATGAGCGGGGTCTTCCACTCCAGAGCGCGAATGCTACCATCTTCCCCCGAACACAACGCACCCTCATTTTGACTGTATCGGGCCGGAAACATGCCTTGCATACGTTCATTTTCAGGGTGCGTTATGTTCGGGGGAAGACGGTAGGCCGGTTGGATGTTTCGGCAGCTACCTGCTGTCGGTGAACGCACCCCCCGATCTCTGTCCGGGAGTAATGAGGGACTCCGTGGGAGCGGTTTGGCAGGTCGTGAAATACAAACAAAAGGAATAGAAAAAGAGGGTGACACGGTGACACCGCCAAAACAGGAGAAGAACCCAAGAGCCTAGCTCAGTGGGGACCACACCCATGAACTGTTGAAATACAGACCAGGTGCTGTGTTCGAATCCAGATGATGGAACTTTACGAGTAAAAAACAACTACTGATGAATTGCCTGGGACCGGTCAGCTCAATGATGACATCTCAAGGCCGTAGAGAGGACTTGGAAGGAATAGCTTTGATAAGACAGGAAATAATGTCGTTGCCACAGTTTTTCTCTACGTGCTCAGGTTCGGCAGCAGGAAATAAGATCGGTGTCACAGTTTCTCTGCCTGCTGAGGAGCGGCAGCAAGAAATAATGTCGGTGTCGGTGTCACAGGTTTTTTCTGCCTGCTGTAGGCTGCTGCGGGGTTGGCAGCAGGAAAATTTTCTTAAACTTCATCAAAGGGTTGAAAGGGGACGTTCTTATGGGGTGTCGTACGACCATGTTCCCCTCAACGGCCTCGTCAATACAACACACTGCATTTCGCACCAAGTCACCACACGACTCTATCAGCCCTGAGATGGCTCGCACGCATTCATGATCGGATACTATCTTTGTGCTTGAGGGACAGCGGAAGGACCAGTGCATATTAATTAACCTCGAATCTCGAGTACTCTTCCTCTGGATGACATCGACAATTGTTCTTTTTCTTTTTTTTAAACGACATTGACGATTATTTCAACATTGTTCGATTCGAGGGGAAAGCTTGAAATTGTCTTTCTCTGCTTCTGACAGTTATCTTATCGCACTTCTTCGTTTACTTCGGACATAATCTGACTGTGTATCTAAAAGGGGATAACGGACCAGTCGCTACCAGCTGAGCTGCAGCTCAGCTACATACAACTAATAAACCGAAAATGCGCCAAGCTATTCTGCAAGCGGGCGATTGGGGACGCATCGATTTCAGAGATAAAGAGTTTGTCTCCGGAAAATTGACGATGGCAATCGACACAACGCCTTTTTCTTTCTTGCCAGTGATGGAAGAAAAGAGCTCCTCATTTTTTGCAAGTCTCAGAGACTCGTGGGGGCAATTGTGCCTTGCGAGAACACAAAACTGCCACACACACTTACACACGCACACACAAAATCGACTACATTTCACGTTGCGGACCCGCATAATCAAATTCGTACCGCACACTAAAATAATGTACACATAGTATCATGCACAGAATTTGTCACATTAAAGATGGTTGATGGTCTGCACTTGACCGGGCTTTCCCTCTATGACCCACACATCCACAGACCTCGAGGAACCGCAATTTCGTCAAAACGGACTTTTTTTTTTTTGGAACGCAATTTTTACGTCGAAATTTTAAGCTCTTCAGGGTCCTGTGTCCTCATGTATCTGGACTTCGTTGGACTCCAGGGGGGTACGTCGTTCTGCAAACGCTGTACCCCCTGGACGCATCTGGACCTAGCTGGCATCCAGGGGGTGCGGCGTTTCCAGAACGTCGTACCCTCAGGAACTTAATATATCAACCTACACCCAATTTATGACGTTTCAATTTCGCTCAAGAAATAAAATATGTCCGTTTTGACGAAATTGCTGTTGAGGCGGCAAGAGTTCGTGCAACACCAGTGAAACATACGCACGTGTTCCCATCAGTTACAAAAAAAAAAAAAAAAAAAAAAAAAAAAAGTGTACACAGTCGCACACAGTTTCGAACAGCAGCAGAAGACCCGCGTAGCGGGCGGAACGACCAGTAGAAAGTATTCACACGTTAGTACATGACATCACAATGTCAACATATACGTCCCATCCCTTTTCCGCCCCTCCTTACTTCCGTCAATCCCATGTCCACAGCTCGATCCTTCAAACAAACCTCCGATAGCACGCAATGTGCAACTAACTAAATTGCTCTTAAGGCCCTAACAAAATTAACAAGAGCAACATGCTCATGTTCTTCTACCCTTTTAAAATGTCCTTTGCCTTCCCGAAATTTCCCTTCAGTGCTCCTTCCGCCCTAACCTCTAGTTCCCCTCACCCTGAATTCCAGAGAACTTGACCCTTCAATGGCGCGCACGGCTAAGTTTCGTTATGAACAACAGAATGTGCGTGTTTCCCCTCACCATTTCCACTGCTTTCCAATTACCATATCCACTACTCCGCCACGTCATTTATTCACAACACATTATTACCTCTTCATGCCATCCCTAATGATTCTTGGGCAGCTATTTACGCAGAAGTGCCAATCCAACGATCCCATGCTCACTCCCGCACTCCATCGTACTACCGTCTTCCCCCGAACATAACGCCCCCTAAAAATGAATGTATACAAGCGATATTTCCGGCCGGATACCGCCAAAATAAGGGTGCGTTGTGTTCGGGGGAAGACGGTAGCTCTAGCCCGTCGGGAGGAAACCCAATTATTCCCTAGCTACCTCCTTCCTGCCTGGCAAGACCTGTCCCTCGTTAAACAAGGATTCAAAAACTGATAGTACATGGNTGAGAATGTCTGAACTGAATCTGTTTTCTCTTGTGTTTGTGCGTCTGGCGTTATAAAACTAAAAACGAAATTGAGAATATCTTAACTGCATCTGTAGAACGCGAGTACTTTTGGAGTGATCGTTAGCATGCCTGGGTTTTCTTTACTTGCCTGTGAGTTTGTAAGTGGTACCTAGTGCTATGGAATAGTTTGTCAAATTTCGCAGTGGCAGCAGATCAAAGAATTCATTTCCTGGCTACAAACCGTTTTTGGGGCCACTTGTTGAACCGTTTTTCTAAGAGACAAAAATGAGGCTCCGTGGACAAACTTTCGTCTCAGCAATCGGCTTCTCCTAACAGGAGACTTGATTTGGTATGTTTTTCCTCGGTAGGTGCGGCATACAACGTCTAAAAGTAGTACCGCCAGGGTGAAAATTAGTGGTGAAATATTGGTTTTGTCTCGTCTATAAAGATTGTTTGGTTTTCTCCGTTTGTTTGGTTTTCACGAATACTCTGTTATGAATGTTCTCGACTTCATCTTGGAAAGCTTTGGGAATTTTTGTAGGAATCTGAATAGGTATAGGATTTTCTCCCACGCTCGCTCTACCGCGCGGATATGGTACCTTTCAATTGGAATTAGCTGTAACTGTTTTGGTGCCCTTTTTGCCTCCGCGTCGGCGCCATGCATGCGAGTCTCCCCTTCCTGCTTCCCACGCTGCCTTCGACACTCTCTTCTTCACGCTCACGCTCCTTCTCTCTCTGTAATCGTTTTCCATCTCTCCTTTGACCTTGCTCGCCTTTTCTCTCCTTCTTGATCGTCCAAATTTGGTTCTCACGATATTCTTCTTCCCGCTCTAATCTTCGTGCTGAAATACCTTCTCGACCCCCTCCTCTTCACTCCCTATAGCCAAGGAGACGTGTCGTGTAAGAAGGAAATTCCTGATACACGACGATTCTGATTGGCTACAACTGGGATCCAAAGGATCGACATGGCTTTTGTCAGGCGAGTATCCCTGAGCCTTTCCCTACTCCTCCCTGTCTCAGTCCTAACCCTTCCTAAAGTCTATCTTCTTTTCCGCTATGGAACCGTTTGAACGTGGTGAACGCGCGTTCGCGTTCAAATGTGCGTTTGAACGCGGATTGCGCGTTCGCGTTCAAAAATTGAACGACGTTCAATTTTTTTAAATTTTTTTAATTGTTTTCAAAAACTATTTTCGATGCCTGAAAATATTTTTGTTTTTCTGATTTTTTTTTTTGTGAGTTCTATATGATGTGGGCTACATATCTGCAAGTTTTGGAGTCATTTTGCCAAGGGAAACAAAAATGAAAAATCACCAAAGATGGCGGTGTCAAATCATGTTCGCCCACTAATTTTAATTATTTTTTTACTTTTTTCTATTTTCTGTTCTCTATTGTTATTTCGAATTTGATAGCGAATTTGGATGTGATTCTCTGGCAAAAGTTGTTTATTTTATTTTTCTTCATAACATAGTGTTTTTTTGGAATTTTTAGAGAACTTGTTTTTTTTTTTTTTTTTTCCTGCGCGGAATTGAACTCCGCGTTCGGTCGCGTTCACTGAAAGCACGTTCATTCCGTTCAATTTCTGAACGGAAAACCCGCGTTCAATGAATGCGCGGTAACATAGCTTTTCCGCAGCTATAAATTCCACAAGCGCTCCCGAAAATCTCTCTCTCGACTCATCAGCCCGCTTCTGGGAAGCTGTGGCTAGGTGGTATGAAGGAAGGTGCGAGTAGAAAAGTCCCGACGAGCTGGCTGTAGTTTTAGCGCTCGGCATGCTGGATCGTCCGACGGACTGTGGGATCCGAGCAGGGCCGTGCAGAGACTAAGTCGGCGAGGTGATGATCGCTATGGTGGATTGGCACGTGACGGCCGGGATAGTCAGTGCAAGTGAGACGTTCGAGCCGGAAGTGAGTGAGTGCATGGCCTGGGCCTATGGTGGAATTTTATGGCAGAAGTGTTTTCCTTTTTTTGTCCTGGAATTTGTATCTTCGAGTGTGGATTCCGATAGCTCGACTTTTAAGCCGGAACTTCCCTGGACAAGATTGTCTGACATTCTGTGATTGCTTTCTACTCGTTCCTCCCTCTTGGTCTGCATCCATACTCTCTCACTCTCGCTCCTCCGGTCACGTTATGTCGTAATGGATGAATTATGGTAACCTTGCTTCTCTCACTTCGGTATGTGCATGCGGTGAGTCGTGTTAGAGAGTTTGTTATAGCATGATTGTAAGGACGATTGGCAGCTCGACTGGATGATATGGTTGCCTGGAGTGTCAAACGAATGATGTATGATTAAGATTTGTTTTGAGCTTGCCTTTGCTGCCATGTGGACTGACGACCTCAACCCGACCAGGCGCCAACTTCCCGTGCCTCTGCCGCGACCCTCACGAATCTGCTGCGCAAAGATCAGCCGTTGTTCTGGACGCCGGAGTGCGATCAAGCGTTTTCCAAACTCAAGGCCGCTCTCATTTCGGCTCCGGTCCTTATAAGAGTGGATCCAGAAAAGTCGTTTGTGCTCATCATTGACTGGCAGCCAGAGGCAATTTCGGCGATCCTTGCCCAGGTGGGACCAAGCGGACTCGAGAGTGTGGTGGAGTATGCCTCCAAATCGGTGCCAGCTTGCAAGCGCAACTACGCCGCTCCAACGGGGGAATGCTACGCGACTCTCAGGGGAATCAACCACTTTCGCGCTTACCTGTACGGGCGAAAGTTCACCTTGGTAACTGATCATGAGACCCTGTTGGCTCTGAAGAAATCGAAGGATTACTCTGGCATGATCGGGCGATGGGCAACGGTGCTGCAGGGCATGGACTTTGACATTCGTCATCGGAAGCACGAGAAACACGAGAATGCGGACGGACTGACACGACTGCACCGGCCTGAGAAGGTTCCGAAGAGTGAGGAGGTAATTCCGTGGAACGAACCCGAACAGGAGATCGGACCTCGGTACGGCCAAGTGGAGATCTTATCGAAGCAGTGAGTGACACGAGGACTMATTGGTSTGTTCTACCCTCTCTGCATCCCTTCCTTCTYTGTCAKCATGACTACCCCACTTGCCTCCGCWACCCCTKCATCTCCTACTAATTCTGCCCCTCTCACGTCCTCAGCTTTCTTTGCCACCCTCCCCGATAAATTCTGTTATTTTTGCACGTGCATTGCACGGGTCTATGGGGTCGACTGCCATCCTTTCGAAACCGGGTTTGTCGACTGGGTAGAATGTGCCACGTGTGTAAAATGTGCGCACGGGGTCTGCGTTCGATATCGAACGAATAGCAAGGAATGGAGATGCCACCTGTGTAGAACGAACAAACTCCCCACGGAGGTTCGATTCGAGGCCGCCCGTACGGACGGCCTTGAATATGACGAAAAATACCGGCGAGCGGAGGTTTGGACGGATAAAATTTTATTGGCAAAATTAGCGGGATTATCACTGGGCCACCTCGCCAAACACGACAAACGTAGGGCGACCGAGAGATCTCGGGACTATCGATGGGTCAACGGTCATTTGGAAAAGCGTAAAACTGACGGATCGGGCTCGTGGTTGACGGTTCCCCATCCATTCCTGAGATATGACTAGATCCGATCTGCTCACGAAGAACAGGCCGCTCATTTCGCAATACGTGTCACGGAGGCAACTGTAGATCAGAACCGATGGTTCTCGTCCAATATACGAGATGATGTCAAATACATTGTCGCTAACTGTCTGGTCTGTGCCTCTGATCGCGCCCCTATACGGGGACCAAACACGATCGTACCAACGGAAGTAGAGCGTCCTTTCCAGCGAGTCAGTATGGACACGACAGATATTGACGTGCCACCTGGCCCAAACCGCTGTGAATATTCTATCCTGCTAGTATTAATAGATCATTTTTCCAAGTACATCGAAGTCTATCCCTGTAAGACCCGAAAAGCCGCAGAAATAGCCACATACATCGAACGGTTCCTCTATACCCATCTAGATACGGAAGAAATTCTGACTGACAATGGGTCCGAATTCAAGGGTGAGGTGGAAGAACTGCTTGCGCGAAGAGGCGTCACGCGCCGACATACGACACCCCACGTGTCCCAGTCAAACGGGTTGGCCGAAAATGCCAACCATATGATTAAAACCGCCCTTCGCAGGAACTTAGCGGCACATGACACGCGTCCTTGGCCCGAGATCGTATATCAGATCGTCGGGATCCACCGGGCCACCCCTCACGAGTCCACAGGGTTTACCCCTTTTCAGTTTCGAACTAATAGCCTCCCCTGTGTCGACTACCGGGGTAACTCGGAAATTGCCGAAGCAGGGGGTAGAGACACGTGTGCAGCTCTCAAGGCCAAGGCCAAAAGGTACACCGAATTAATGGAACGGGTCGTCCCGAAGCTAGCCCGAAAAAGGCAAAGGATGACCAAACTGGCCCACGGTAGACAGGTCCGTAGCTATGAGGCTCGGAACGGAACACAGAATAGGAACGTACATCTATTACGAGCGCGTAAACAAAAACGTGTACTCGTCCGGCTTTTACAGCCACGTTCTCGATAATGCCTATGATGTTCATTGCTTCCTCGTCGGCAGAGACATAATTGTCTTTGCCGAATTGAGGAAGAATGGATCCAAGTCGTCCCGTCTTTTTGACAGTATCCAATGATATGGCCACGACAGAAGACCCTATGTCAATAAGGGCATTAAATGGCTTGCCCCAAACTTCACAGTCACATTCCGCACTTTTCCACAGTACCGGTCGAGCTCGTACGAAGTGATTTTTTTATGCTAAAGAGATCGCTGCTATTCGTGCGGCTTCGGGTTCAGGTTCTCTCGTGTCAGGCTCGGGGGGTGCAACCTCCTCGCCTCCTTCCTTCTTCTTCAACATCCGTTGTATGCGCTGATAGGTAAAGCGCTTTTGATTTTTCTGGCAATGTTGTAAAAGCTTATCATTCGCCGCTTCAGATATGGTGAGCAGATGTCCTACTAGGATAGGAACGCGAATATCTAGTTGCTTGAGCGTTTTCAATACATCAATGTCTCCTGTCCGAAACTGCGGTCCAGGATTGGATTCGCGATCGACCCATTCGAGATCATCTGGGGCCTATCGGATCGCTTCGATCATGCCTGCGAGATGATGATACTCGAGGGGGTCGACCACGTCAGCAGCGTCTGAGGAAGAAGCTCCCGAGGTGGAAGCCGTTGCCATCGAAGGGGAAGGCTGCTCTGGGGCATATGCCACGAGTTCTCCTCCTTGGTCCGTATCCATCAGGGCGGCCACTCGTCCTTGATTAAGGGCGACAGGGGCCGCAGCAGGGGGTGGCTGATTACGTTTCGGCTGCGGACAGTCCCGGGCGAAATGCCCGGGCTGCTTGCAGTTAAAGCACTCGATCTTTCCTGCTGGATTAGCTAGATGAGGGTATTGAGGTGCAAACCCTGGAGCAGGCGGGGCAGGTAAGAGTGGAAATGATGCAGGGGCAGGCCGAGCAGGAGTCGGGTTAGGCTTAATTAACCTGTTCATTATCTGTTCCATTCGTTCCATATGAGCGGCTTGCATTTGGATCAAGTTGGTCATCCATTCGGACTGCTTGGTAGTGGCCGTATGGATCATCTGGGCAAGGTGTAAGTTGGTTATGGACGGCGAGGAGGGTTCGGGTGAGATTCCGCTTTTAACGACTGCGATCGATTGATTCACCGGAGGAGAGGAAGAAGAAACAAGCGGGGTATCGGAAACGATCCCGCCGGGAAGGTCATGGTCGGGGCAGGGATAAAACCGTTCGACCGCCTGCAGCCATGATCGCCTTTTAGCCGTTACATCCCGTATGGTATCTGTAATGTCTTCGTCTCGCTGGCTGATATACTTTTTTGTATCAGTCAGGTCCAGTTCCAATGCTTTAGTGATGATAGCCGATAACTGGAGCGTTTTCGGCGGGACCTTTTTCTGCAGTTTGCCTTTCAACGTAGGACTTCGTAGATGGTCGATGAACAAATCTCGAGCGGATTTCTCGTCTCGCCCGGATTTGTCCAGCGTGGTTTGAAATCGATCGACGAAATCGGGTAACAATTCCCCTGGTCCTTGTGGCCGATTTTTTAGTACGTACCAGGCGGCATCTTCACTAAGCGTATCGAATCGAGCCAAGAAAGCTTGCTTGAAAGTATCCCAATCTACCCATGTATGTTTTCTAAACCAGTCATGCGACGTATTGCGGAGTAGCAATGTCAGAACGCAAGGAAGATCGGTTGCACTGTAGTTTTGAGTTTCGACAGCTTCTAGCCAAGCCTCGGGATGGGTATGGTTAGGGAAGAAGGGGAAGGGGGTTGGGATGCTAACGATCACCCTAGTACCGTCCACCATTGGTATCGCGAGGTAGCCGCACCAGACTGAGACCTGGTTACTGGTCGATCCTGAGGAGCTAGTTGAGGGCCTCTCCTACCTCTCGCCAGTTCGACTTACTATCATCAGAACCGACACGTGTCGGCTCCGATACCAACCTCACGCCCTGTGCTGTCTTTCGTTCGGAGTGCTAGACGTGCGGGAAGAGGCCCAGAAAAACTGCAAGATGGGGTGTGCCAAGGATTTTTGGAAATCGAGTGTGGGGACACAGACAGAACTGAAATCCCCCGTGTTGGTCCGATGAAGTAAGTCGGTTGCCTTCGCGCGTCGCGGGACGCGCACGCGGGCACGGCGCGAAAAGAGAAAAATCCGAATTCAATCCAAAAAGTATTGTCGAGTTTCCCACCGTGCTACGGCCCATCGTTTAGAGCGGAAGGGCTTTGGCACGCTTCGCGTCTCTCGTTTTCGGATCAAGTCCCGTCGTCGTTCCTTGGTCAGTTCTGAGTCTGATGTGGAGGGTCGCAGACGCGTGGCTCTTTCCTTATGCTCGTCCTAACTTCGTATTCGGTAGTGGAAACCCTTCGCCTCGTAGGGATCGAAACGCTGGCACTCTGTATACAGGGTTCGAGGTCAATCTGGTGCCACTACCGTCCACGGAATGATGATCAACTCGTTAAATGGCAACAATATCGAGTAGGGTGGAAAGTGCATATCGACAATGACAAATCCAGCTTCTACGAACCCTGAACAACGGTTGGCCGGAGGGAAGTAATATCGCCCGCCGATTTGTGCGATGGTTTCCCGTACGTCCCACTCGCATACACGTGTCCTTCCCTCGCTATAGGGAAAAGGTCGTGTTGAGATGGGACATACGGGAGGCTGATGCCCGATCGAAGGGTGTTTGTCAGTCCACATATCAATCATCCGCAAATGTCTCGCGACGTTATCAAGAACAGAAAACACTCACGCAGCCCCCAATCAATCCTTTTTGACACAAGAGAGAGAGAGAGAGAGAGAGAGAGAGAAAAAACACGCATCAGCTTGATCATGCGTATGGCTAAGGGGCTGACCCGCGACTCAGTTTTAGTGAGCCAACACAACGTTGATCCTCAACGCCTTGTTTCTCGAGGCCGTCTCGAGGTTCGGTTGCTGATGTCGGACAGCATAAGGCAGATGGCATGCGCAGGGCACTCAGAGCTACAGATCTAAACACTCTTGCATTCTCGGACAAAATCCCGACGACCATCGTCTAACCAATGTCAAAGGGACGTGCATTTCCTTACATTCATTGACTGTGGAAGATGCCAAAATGAGCCATGCACAGAAAAAGATAGATTGCTTGCATAGTACACACGCATTCACCGTTCACAAGACAAGAAGACGGGGTCCTTGCGCAGGAGGATTACCCAGGAATCTAATGGAAGAGTTCCGGAAGAAGTTCTTTCACGCAAGGAAAGTATACAGGTTCATGCTCATCAAGAAGAGGGAAAGAGAGAGAGGGAGAGAAGCATCGAGACACATCATTATTCAATGATAGAGGAGAAAAGGGAAGGTGAGGGGGGGGGGGAGAGAGAGTCTGGATAGGAGATGACGCAACCCAAAAGAAGGAAGTTCAGAGGGAAAGATCCGCAACCACAAAGGCATATCTGCCGTTACTTCCAATATGGCCCCGGGCCAATAACTCACTCAACTCCAATCATCGATCCTCATACCCGCACCGACGATCCCGGCCGCCGCGTGCTAACTCCCACCACTGCGATCGTCACCCCGCTGTCGTAGACTCGACACGGTTCGCCCAGATCCCACAGTCCGTCGTGGTCATCCAGCGCGCAACCGGCCAGCCTATCGTCAGCCCGACAGGACTTTCCGACTCGCATCAAACACTCTGCCTAGCCACTGCTTCCCGGAAGCTGGCTTGAGAGTCGAGAACGTAAGAGAGATTTGCGGACGCGCTTGCGGGTTTTATAGTTGCGATAGGGGAGATAGAAGGGGGAGAAAGCAACGGGAAAGCTGAGGTGTAAGAGGAGAAGCAGGAGGAGAAGACTTTGAGAAGAATGCTCTACGAACGCCATGTTGATCCCTCAAAACTCAAGGTTCAACCAATCAGATTCGCCG